CTTAGTCCATCTAATCAACCTCCTCCTCCCGGTTCTACTCTCCTCCTGACCAGAGTCCACCCCCACACCCACCCCGACTCCAAACCACACACCTTAACAACCAAACCACGAACCTCCGACACATTTATTGCCACAACATCACACCCACCACAAACTGACCGGATTACTGACATCTCGTCCAGTCACGTGAGCAACTGAGTGCACCTAAAAGGGCAGCAAGTGATAAAGGCGGTCGAGAATGCGCCCAAAGCCCGTCCCCGAAAACATTGCCACTGTGGACTTCTCCTCCCACATAGTGACTCCAAGTACGCCTATGAAGGCGATCACACCAACCGCAACATGCATCGCGATGTGCAGTAACGTGGGCGTAGGACACAGCACCCTCTACAAGGAAAAACATCTGAGTATGTGTGTGTGTGTGTGTGCGCGATTTGCAGGAGACGGACAATTCACCTCCGAGACGAGAGTCACCATCAGTGCGAGGAGTAACAGAGCTACCTGCAGACCTGATGGAAACATCAGTCGGAGCAGTGAAAATGCTCGCAACTCCTTTACGCTCTCAGCCGTCAACTCGCGATTCTCCTCCACGCACCGGACAAACCGACCGATGAAGTAACAGCTTGTAAAATGAAGGAAGCAGCGAATTCAACCAACCGAACACCCAAATCACCACTCAAACTACCTAATCCAAAGTTAAACGCGTGCACAGTACACGTCATTATGCACCACTAACCTGCTCTTCCAACAATAATGCATAGCAGGAGGTGGTGTACACCACTCTTCGTGGCGATGGGATATCAAGTGGCCACAAAATGGGATGATGTAGCACTTTGCTTTTATGGCCACCACATGTCTGGTGACTACTTCGAAATTCATCTTCCTCTTTTACGCATGAACTGGCCTTCGCGCCAAGCCGAAGTCCAACTCCTTCCCATCACCCCACACTACATGCCTTCAGCCCAACTCAATGCCTCATTCCTCCTTCTAGTGCGGAATCTCGAGGCCATACAGCTTATGTGATCCGTTTCCCCAACCCTATACCATGGTCACACTCGTAACCTTGGCATTACTGTGTCCAACAGTTTCGCCTTAACGACTATCGATGCCGTAAATATCAAGGTAAGAGTATGAGGCGTCGACCACACCTCCTCACTAATGCTTTTGCACAAGGAGCAACTTACTTTCCCTCAACTATAAGTA